AGCGCTCCGTGGTGGGTCCCAGCTTCAGTCTGGGGGGTTGTGCGACGTGGATGGCCGCTGCCGTGCAGCTGGTCCCGCAGCGGCTGGGAGGGTCCTTTAAAGTCACGGCCAGGGGCTGGCAGAGGAGGAAAATTCAACTCCAAGGCGCCGAAACGGTTGGACAAGGTTAGGCCAGGTGGAGGAGATCGGCGGCCGCCGCCCCGCGTACCCCCGCCTTGGCCGGACCCAACCTTGACCCATACACCCTGGAGCAAGGGAGTGGAGCTGAGGGGGGCTTTCGGCTTTGCCCCCAGCTGGAACCAGCGCTCCTCCTCCGCCGCGAATGCTGTGCTGGCCCCCGGCACTCCGAGCCTGCTTGGAGAACTGGAGATGGAATTTGCTCCGGGCTGGCATGAAACAGCATCCGCCAGCTGAGCCCCATCAGTGGTGGCGAAGGTCCGGGAGAAAATGGTGTCCACGTCGCGCTCATGGTCCTGGATTTGGTGGAGCATGGAGATCCTCTTCTCCAGCTCTACAATTTTCTGGCTCAGCCTCACACAGCCGACACACCCAGGGCTGCAGGTGAGAGGCATGAGGCAGGTGAAAGTAGACAGCAGGTAAAAACACACAGCAGTCGAGCTCCAAAAAGTTATTTAAAAAGTAAAAAATAAAATAAAATAAAAAGCTCACAGTGGTAGACAAAAAAAAACGGTTAAAACCGAAAAGGATTAAAACCAGTTAAAAACCAGTTAAAACCGCCAGACTTGACGGGTGGTAGTGTGGGTATTCTGGAAGTTGTGCAAATAAAGGGATGGGAGTAGCTATTCTGCTGGGGTGGGGCTGAGTTGGTGCCCTCGGACTCTGTGGGGCTCAGCGATGCTGCTGCTTTGGGCCCTGGCAAGATGGGCTGGGGTCTCCATGCCCTGGGTGGCATTTTGGCAACAAAGGTGCCTATTGGGGCCAGTGGGAGAGCTGGCTCCCTGGAGGGCTTAGGCCAACCAGCCATTCCTCTCCATCCCCACACATTTCTCTCCTCCTGCTCCCTCACATCATCACACAAACGTGCACATAGGACCTTGGGGGGTGGACAAGTCAGGGGGTGCGGGTATGGACCCCATTTCCGCATTCCTGTGGTAACCTGCCCCCCAATTTTATTTGTACCTTAAACACTTCCACCAATGACATTCCATGCAAACACACACTTAGGGCCAACGGCATTTGGCAGGGGGATTTCTCAGCCTCATCCCGAGTGCCGGTGCCCACTTCCAATTTTAAACTGCACTTAGACACAAAGGGCTGTGGGTGGAAGTGGGGTGGTGTGGTGGCATCAGCTGGCATAGGCCAGACGATGCCCGCACTGCCCGCTCACCACAGCCATGGAATACACCTCATCAACATGCACTAACACTATATTGGAGCAGGCGGAGGGAGACTATGGGTCTTGGCACACCTCTGTTGTCGCTTGGCTTCCCGGGGCTGGATGCTAGGAGGGGTATCTTGCCATCTGGTTGGGGTCTGGGCTGGTGGGTTGCTTTGCTCAGCGTTGGGCGGGGTAGCCTGCTCATCAGCACCCCAGCAGAAAGGGTCAAACTCTGGGAACCGGTAATGGTTGTACTCCTTGTGCAGCAGTACTGGGACCAGAGGGAATGTATGGGGAGCATGAGTGGGTGTCCGTCCGGCATGCATTTTTGTAAGTTTTAGGTTGTACAGGTGCTGGCCAGTAAATTAGAATATCATCAAAAGGTTGAAAATATTTCAGTAATTCCATTCAAAACGTGAAACTTGTACATTATATTCATGCAATGCACACAGACCAATGTATTTCCAATGTTTATTACGTTTAATTTTGATATTTATAGGTGACAACCAATGAAAACATCAAATCTGGTATCTCAGAAAATTAGAATATTCTAAAGGCCAATGAAAAAATGTTTGTTTCTCTAATGTTGGCCAACTGAAAAGAATGAACATGAAAAGAATGTGCATGTATAGCACTCAATACTTAGTCGGGGCTCCTTTTGCCTCAATAACTGCAGTAATGCGGCGTGGCATGGACTCGATCAGTCTGTGGCACTGCTCAGGTGTTATGAGAGCCCAGGTTGCTCTGATAGTCGTCTTCAGCTCCTCTGCATTGTTGGGTCTAGCGTATTGCATCCTCCGCTTCACAATACCCCATAGATTTTCTATGGGGTTAAGGTCAGGCGAGTTTGCGGGCCAATCAAGGACAGGGATACCATGGTCCTTGAACCAGGTGCTGGTGGTTTTGGCACTGTGTGCAGGTGCCAAGTCCTGTTGAAAGGTGAAGTCTGCATCCCCATAAAGTTGGTCAGCAGCAGGAAGCATGAAGTGCTCTAAAACTTCCTGGTAGACGGCTGCATTGACCCTGGACCTCAGGAAACAGAGTGGGCCAACACCGGCAGATGACATGGCACCCCACACCATCACTGACGGTGGAAACTTTACACTGGACCTCATGCAACGTGGATTCTGTGCTTCTCCGCTCTTCCTCCAGACTCTGGGTCCTTGATTTCCAAAGGAAATGCAGAACTTGCTTTCATCAGAAAACATAACTTTGGACCACTCAGCATCAGTCCAGTCCTTTTTGTCCTTGGCCCAGGCGAGACGCTTCTTGCGCTGTTTCTTGTTCAAGAGTGGCTTGACACACGGAATGCGACACCTGAATCCCATATCTTTCATGAGTCTCCTCGTGGTGGTTCTTGAAGCGCTGACTCCAGCTGCAGTCCACTCTTTGTGGATCTCCCCCACATTTTTGAATGGGTTTGTCGTCACAATTCTCTGCAGGGTGCGGTTATCCCTAGAGCTTGTACACTTTTTTCTACCACATTTTTTCCGTCCCTTCGCCTGTCTGTTAATGTGCTTGGACACAGAGCTCTGCGAACAGCCAGCTTCTTTAGCAATCACCTTTTGTGTCTTGCCCTCCTTGTGCAAGGTGTCAATGATTGTCTTTTGGACAGCTGTTAAGTCAGAAGTCTTCCCCATGATTGTGGTGCCTTCAAAACAAGACTGAGGGACCTTTTAAAGGCCTTTGCAGGTGTTTTGAGTAAATCAGCTGATTAGAGTGGCAGCAGGTGTCTTCTATATTCAGCCTTTTCAGAATATTCTAATTTTTTGAGATACCAAATTTGGAGTTTTCATTAGTTGTCACTTATGAATATCAAATTTAAATGTAATGAACATTGGAAATACATTGGTCTGTGTGCATTGCATGAATATAATGTACAAGTTTCACGTTTTGAATGGAATTACTGAAATATCTTCAACCTTTTGATGATATTCTAATTTACTGGCCAGCACCTGTATGTGTATGTGTGAGCATGAGGGAGGGAGTGTGTAACTGTGTCTGTGTATGACTGTATATGTCCTTCTAAAAAATTAGCATATTGTTATGAAGTTCATTATTGTCTGTAATGTACTGATAAACATTAGACTTTCATATATATTAGATTCATTACACACAACTGAAGTAGTTAAAGCCTTTTATTGTTTCTAATATTGATGGAGGAGTGTACAGTCGTTAAAGACGTCTCTCCCTTGCCCTGCCTCCAACATGCCTTTATCTAAAAGGCTAAGTTATCCAGAGTTATCTCTGTAGTTATGCTGCTATAGGCTTAGACTGCTGGAGGAGACACTGACCACTTTACACACTCTACTACTTTCTTCTACAATCTGCTCTTTAACTGTATTATTTACTGCAATTTCACCTGTTAACTTTATTTTTTCTCTAAGTGTTTTTCTCCCCAGAAGAAGCTACAATGATGTTCTGTTGAGCTGTGGTGGCGTCATGGAGGGGGCCATCGTCTTGAACACTGTTACTAACCATTAAAACATTCTTCCTCTCCTGATGATAACATTTTACTCTTTTTGTCATTGAATGTGCTACTACTAGTTTATCCGTTTAATTATAGAATCACTAGGATAAATACAAAAAAATCTTATCTCTCACCAAATAGAATATTTATTAAAAAATCACAATGTAACCATAGAAACATTACTTGGTGTGTGTGTGTGTGTGTGTGAGAGAGAGCGTGCGTGCGTTCTCTGTCTTCTCCATCCCCAGTGAGTCGTGGAGGATGACTGCTTATACTGAGCCAGGATCCTCTGGAGGTTTCTTCCTGTTAAAAGGGAGTTTTCCACTGTCGCTTTATGCTTGCTTGGTATGAGGATTGCTGTATAGTCACTGATACTAGTCAGTGACTCGATGCAATTTGCTGGGTTCCTTGTATAGGAAACTTTTTTCTGATTGGCTTAATGAATTGACCTGTATTGGAATGTTTACTAAGTGAAGTGCCTTGAGATGACTCTTGTCGTGATTTGGCGCTATATAAAATAAACTTGAATTGAATTTATGATTTTGGAATACAGCTCATGAAAACCCAAAATTCCTATCTCAAAAAATTTGCATATCATGAAAAGGTTCTCTAAACGAGCATTACTCATTACTCAAAACAGCAATCATGGGTAAGACTGCTGACCTGAGGGGGGGGGGGTTTGCACACACTCCACTGCTGTTTCTCACCAGTATCAGCTGATGGAGGGCTCTAGTTTCGTTGCGCCGTTCGTGTCAGCAGACACAGTAGGGGCGGGGAGGGGGGCGGGGCATCACACTTAGCCTGGCAGGTGGCCAAGCAAAGCCTGGTGGGCCACCAGGCATATAAAGCCCTGGGAAAGGAAGTGAGGGGCCGATGCGATGCTGCTGCCAGAGTATCTCTAGGCTCCACAGTAGCAGCGACGGATGGTTGGTTTGACCGGCTCTGAGAGGCGCTAATCAGAATTTGCAGATCACGTTTTTTTCCTTCTACCAATCGCATAGTGATGTCTGGACTTAAAAGCAACTCATTAGATTCATAGTTATTTGTTAAAGTAATGCATTACCATAAATAGTAATGTGTTTACCAACATTTGTTATGTATATTACCGATTGCAAAAACACCCCTAAGTCTTTTGTCTTGTCTTTTTACTGAATATTTTTCTTTTATATATTTCTGCTTGGTTCACTGCAGTTTCAAGGAAGAGAGAAGAGACGGATGAGAAACCTCTGCTCTTACATTTCCACAACCATCAAATGAAAGACGGAGGTGTCCCAACCAGCAGCTTGGCTGGGCAGATGACAGCAAAAGTTGGTGGAGGAGCAGAAACTATCAAGAACCTAGATCTGGACCCTAATGAAAAGACATCCGATTCTTCAGAGATTGAAGTTAGTGGAGAAGATGAAGATGATGTGAATCTAGATTCTGAGCGTTCAGACTCTGGGCCTGAAACTGGAAACGGAGACCATGGCTGTAATGAGAACAAGTCTTCGGAGTCAGATATTAAGACCATCAACAAATCATTTAGCTGCCCTGTGTGTGGTATACGGTTCCTCCACAAGTGGTCTCTTCAGGAACATGTGAGAGTGACAAGTCATTCAGCAGTAAAGTCGTCAGAGTGTTCGGTTAATACAAAATGTGTGAAAGAGAAGCAACGTGGAGGCTCATGCAGAAAAGTCCAGAAACAACCAAAATCAATAAGGTATGAGGACTGTGGAAAAAGATTTAGCCTAAAGTCCAAATTAACCTATCATATGAAAGGCCACACCGGGGATAAGCCTTTTGCCTGTAAGCTCTGTGGGAAAAAATTTAGCCGTAAACATAGTTTAAAAACACACATGCGAGTCCACACAGGAGAGAAGCCTTTTGCCTGTGAGCTTTGTGGGAAAAGATTTGGCCATAAAAATGTTTTAAACAAACACATAACAGTCCACACAGGAGAGAAGCCTTTTGCCTGTGACGTCTGTGGGCAAAGATTTAGCCGTAAGGCATATTTAAATGGTCACATGAGAGTCCACACAGGAGAGAAGCCTTTTGCCTGTGATCTCTGTGGACAAACATATACCCGTAAACATAATTTAAACAGACACATGAGAGTCCACACAGGGGAGAGGCCTTTGCCTGTGAGCTTTGTGGACAAAGATTTAGCCGAAAGACAAATTTAAAGAGACATACAAGCATCCACAGAAGACTCGAGGGATTTATTTAACAACAGTACTTCCAAAAGATGGCGACGGTGGCACAGGAGTTAACTCATTCACTGCCATTGACGACTAAAGTCGTCATTTTAGATCCAACCGTTCACTGCCGATGTCATTTGCATTTTTTTACTGTTTGAGCATCGGAACGAGCCCCCACGCTGAGAGAACAAACATCTCAGCCCTGAAGCCGATCTTCATCCGCATACGTCACAGATCACATGATCAGGAAGCAACACATCCATGTGTTAGGAGATCGTTTTGGGCCGTTCCTGTAAAAAAAGTGAGGCGCGAACCGGAAAAGTGTCTGCCGATCATAATTCGACAACGGATTATGAAAGAACGGATAACGCTCGAAACACGCCGACTCTTCCTGATGTAAGAGGTGAGTCTCCTCTTTGTTTTGGTTGTTTTGGCATCGACATTATGCTAGCGCGCAACGTTCTGTGACTCTTAAAAAACTGTAAAAACTGTGAGAAACGCTGGCAGCGAAGGGCGTTAGTGATCAGGAAACGGCTGGTAGTGAATGAGTTAAGTGCTCACCCCGTATTCGGAAGGTTGCAGGTTCGAGCCTCGCTCAGTCTGTCACTGTGTCCTTGGGCAAGACGCTTAACCCATGTTGCCTGCTGGTGGTGGTCGGAGGGACCGGTGGCATCCCTGCTCGGCAGCCTCGCCTCTGTCAGTGCGCCCCAGGACAGCTGTGGCTACATCGTAGCTCATTCCCGCCGGTGTATGAATATGTGTGTGAATGGGTGAATGACTGATTGTGTTGTAAAGCGCCTTGGGGGGTTCCAGGACTCTAGAAGGCGCTAAATCAAATACAGGCCATTTACCATTTAGTTTTTTTACAACCTTAATATTAGTCTTGTACCTCTGCTCAACTATCATTGATCAAGTCCATACTCTGTCCTTGAGCCACCTCTTTCGATTTTCTTTTTCAAATCTCCTTTGTCTTTTAAACTCAGACCTTACCCAAACATTTGAGATGTTCATTCATGAATTCTGAAAAATATTACTTAAAGATTAAGAAAAAACTGTTGTACCCTCCTGTATTTAAGACACAGACAAGATAACAGACACATGGTGGTTGTAGTACATAACCCACTGCAATTTAAAGCTGTTAGATACCGGTGGCGTCTGCTTTAAACAATTTATCTGTATATAAAATAATAGCATACAATGTTGTAATAACTGCAGCTTAAAAAGAATGTGTCTTTATTCTTTTGGAGCCCCTAAGAAGAAATCCCACCGTAAAGGCTATGGAGAGACAGCTGGGACTGTTGTCAAGAAGTCATAAATTACAAGGCGGCTCTGTGGAGACTCCATTCTCCTACAATAGCATTTTGCTATTCTAAGCAGGCTTAGGAATGTACCTGTACCAGAGTTTTTAGAGATGCTGTTGCAGAGTTATAAGCAGTGGACAGATGCTGGAAAGACAGAACCACTTTTGGGCTGCATGTTTCTCCACCGGTGTACTGATGCTTGTATTAACATGGACTAGATTGTAATAAACCGGTTATATTTTTTTAACTCAAACTTTGTCATGATTGAGTCATAGCACTCCAAGAAACAGCTCAGCATGAAAACTAACCACATTCCCTTTATTTCTGATGACACAACTAATCACTGCTGGTGGACGATTAATCGCACAGTGCGTTTACATGCAGCCAGTAACCCTTTTAAAACCCGAATATTCACAATAACCCGGTTCCGCAGGTCCATGTAAACACCGCCCAAAAACCCGGTTACTGCACATGGGGTAACCCTTTTCTAACCCGAATGTTTGGTCATGTAAACGCATATCGGGATATCCCCATCAAAGCGTGTGTTCTGCGCGTGCTCTGTTCGCAAGGAATCTTGGTCTTTTGAGTAGCGAGACGTCTTGTATGCGCCAGAACACCGGAAGTAAACAACAAGTTGGGAGCAACATGGCGAGTCGCGGCACAGCACCACACTTTTGGAGTGACGAGGAAACTAAAGCGCAAACAAACGCGGTCGCTATCTCTTCCGAACTGGGAAACATGTTGTTGTTTTCACGGATACCGGAACAAGAAGAACCTGAAATGAGGCATATTGCGTCTGGACGTAGTCCATACGTCCTGACGCTACCCCAACGTCCGCATTTAAATCGGGTTATGCAAGTTAGGGGTAACTCTTTCTATTTATGCTTGTAAACGGGTTATTCTGATCAACTCAGAAACCCGAATACCGACCTCAACCCGATCATAACCCGGATATTGGCTGCATGTAAACGTAGTCATAGACACTTAGCACTTCTGCATGCGTTCTGTATTCAGTGTGAACGAGGTTTCACGCCCTCTCTCAGTAGCGCAGCATCGTGCGGTTGTCCTGTTCTGATTTTTTTCATGTAGTTGTGGTTTAGGATTTTTTTTTGCCATTATCACTGATAAAAGCTGTGGGTTTATGCATTTGTGAATTAATTAAGCAATACAGATCACAGTCCAATGTTTTTGTTTTGTTTTGATTTTAAGTAAGGTTCAGCAAATGCGGTCGAATCACTGAACGCCATCATCTGGGAAATGAAATATGAACTGTGTCCAAGTACCGCTGTAATGTGCTTGCATACCACAAGGCAGAAGAAAAAATATTTGTATATAGCGTCTCTCAAGGTAAGCTCACAAGGCGCTTTATAAGAACGACAAAATTAAAAAAAAAAGACAAACAAAGACCATAATAAAATTACAAAAAAGGGAAATTTTTAGACTATAAATGAATCCTAAAAAAGACGGACCTGACAGAGCCAGTAGTGTGAAAAAAGCTCCTGAGGAAGAATCATGAACAATGTGTGTTTAGATGGTAAATGACAGAGTTCAGAGCGTTTCTGGTTCAGTCCGCTGTTGGATAATCAACACTTGACAGGAGACATGATCGTCTTTTATACAGAATGTCTCGTGTCTTCATCTGTCTAGGGTTGTTATGATGGTTTAATTTTTGAATCATATAAATATTAAAGGTTTTCTGCAGACCTGTTAGAGTGTCCTCCATCATTCAGGTGTTTTGAGTGTGTTCTGTTCTTCTGTTCCAGAATGATTTGTAGTCGGTCAGATGATTTCCTCATCAGGTTGCAGCTTTCACGTCATTTCTTGTTGATTCTTGATCTTCAGTCTCTCCCTGTTCAGATCAGAACCCATCAAATGTCAAATCAATCAAATTTTAGTCATATAATGCCTTCCACCAACCTTGCGGGGGACCAAGGCGCTGAACACGACAGAATAAAATCACAAAAGAGCAATAAGGATAATTAAAGCTGCAAGCAGCGTCGTTCGGCCCTCGCAGCTCCGCGCCGCTCCGGCCTGGCCAGCAGCCCGGGGAACCAGGGCATGTCCGCGGAACAGAAATGTCGACCACCCCGACACCAGAAACCGCTAACGATCACCTCGTCCGCACCTCACCCTGACTCAGCATCCCCTCTGAGCCCACCAAGTTTGGTGCAGTTACGACCTCGTCTGTAGGAGTTATTTCAGGTTTAATGGTGTGTAGGGGGAGCTGTGGTGACATTATACAAATTTCACCAACCGTTTGTGTCTCATTGGCTAAAGGGCATGATTGTTGATTGCCATGTTCAGTCTCCTGCAGATGGGAGGCTGTTTGTGGAAGTTAGATCAAATGTAAGGTCACGGCGTCATGCCAGAATTCGCCATGGCATCAAAGCCCCTCCCTATCTGGAAAGCTATCAGATCTGAATGGTCATTAAAACATCATGAAGACAGTGCATGACCTTAGTGTCATGTTGACTAAATTAGAGGGGACAAATATGGGCATTTCACCATAAAACAATATACTTCCTGTTGTCAGGGGGCGGGGCTTAGGTGATGTCAGCTGTCCACAATGTCGTTGCCTTGAGATGTGGTCAGTGATCACACAGACAAAGTTTGATATAGATCTGATCCTGCACATGGGAGTTATTAAGTCAAGTAATGTAATGGCGAAAGGTCAAAGTTTGAGGCGTAGCCACGGCCACACCTTTATACTTATTTAAAATCCGACGGTTGAAGTTTTTCCTCTATGTCTTAACAGTATATAGCAGAAGTTTGAAGGCGATTGATGAAAAGGGCGATGGAGCATCACTCTCCAAACAACGTGTGCGAAAACCACAAAATCGCGCACTTGGACCAAAATGGCTGACTTCCTGTGCGTCTTTGCATTTGGCTCCAAGAGACTTTTTTGTAGGTCCTGACATACCACATTACTGTACCAAATTTCGTAATCCTCAGTCAAAGCATGGCTTGGGGCTGACAGTTTTAATGGTCCTAGGGGGCGCTAATTCAGAAAATAGGCCACGCCCACAAACTTAAGCTGACCATTTCTATTGGGGGTCAGACTAGGATCACTCACAACAAATCTTGAGGTGATATCACGATAAATGAAGAAATGAGAGGCAAACGTATTTCCATGGCGTGATGGCGAATTTCGCCATTCTCCCAAAGCCCCGCCTTTTTTCAAAACCTTCCAGTACTGGATACCAAGTGACCTCAACTTGTCTGCTGCTATTTACCAGAGATTTCTGGTGATTGGGTAAAAGGAGTCCAATAGGGAGCTGTGAAAAAAAGAGTGGCGTGGCAAAAGGTCAAAGTTTGAGGCTTAGCCACGCCCACACCTTTATACTTATTTAAAATCCGACGGTTGAATTTTTTACTCTATGTCTTAAGAGTAAATAGCACAAGTTTGAAGGCGATTGGTGAAAAGGGCGACGGAGCATCACTCTCCAAACAACGTGTGTGAAAACCACTAAATTGCGCACTTGGACCAAAATGGCCGACTTCCTGTGCGACTTTGCACTTCGCTCCAAGAGACATTTTTGTAGGTCCTGAGACACCACATTAGTGTACCAAATTTCGTAATCCTCAGTCAAAGCATGGCTTGGGGCTGACAGTTTTAATGGTCCTAGAGGGCGCTATTTCAGAAAATAGGCCACGCCCACCGGATGTGCACATCAGATCTTTTGGGGGGCCGACTAGGATCACTCACAAGAAGTTTCGTGACGATATCTTTAGAAATGACGAAATGGGAGGCAAACGTAAGGCCACGGCGGTACGCCTGACTTCGCCGCACCGCCACTGCCCCGCCCTCTGCCGAAAACTCCCACAAAGTGACGCCAAGCAACCCCCACTTGTCTTGAGTTACCAGCTACAAATTTGTGGTGAGTGAGTGAAATGGGGCCATTTGGGACCTTTCATAGTAAAACTTGACCTTTTTGGTCCTGAGGGGGCGGGGCTTGTGTGATGTCATCATCCGACCATTCAGTTTACTTTGTGGGTGGATGACAAATGACCACAGAAAGTTTGGTAACTATTCCATTCAATTATGAAGTTATAGCAGTTTAAATTTTTTTGGCGAGTAGTCAAACTTCGAGGCCTGGCCCCGCCCCTTCAACATATACGAAAACTCAGAATCCTTGTCTCATTTTGTTCGCCCATCCCTTTTGAGCAATTTTATACAATTTTTGAGACGATCGTGCGAAAAATGATCGAGCAATCCAATCAGAAACGGACCCTAAAGACGGGGAAAATGGCCCAAAATCACAATTTCAACCCAAAATGGCCGACTTCCTGTTTGATATCGACCATGCTTGCAAGAGACTTTTCTGTGCGTACTGTTGAGTACTACAAGTGTACCAAATTTCATAACTGTACGATAAACTAAGCTTTATGGAGAGGGTTTTTTTTTTTTACTTTGTAGGGGGCGCTGTTCAGTCATTTTCTGTGCGATTTTTTTGGGACCTTTAAAATATCAAATTTTTCACCAGGCCTTACATGTTTGCAAAATATTGTGAGTTTTGGGGTATGATAAGGTCCCCAAAAAGCCATTCAAAGGGGCACCGGAATAATAAAGAAAGAAAAAAAAACAATAATAAACAGAGCAAAAACAAGAGGCCTTCGCAGCGCTTTCGCTGCTCGGGCCTAATAAAAACAACATTAAAACAAATAGTTAAAAAGGTCAAAACACAAGCAATTAAGATAAAAACCCATCACAGAAAACCAGACGATCAAAACGAGTCTTCTCTTAAAAACCTGCAGCGATGGTGACGGTCGAATAATGAGCAGCAGCTCATTCCAGAGACAGATGTGTGTTTCTCTGTAAGTGGGTCACTGAACATCAGAGCCTGATTTCTTCTATCGTAGATTATGTTAGATGTTTGTAGCAATTAAAACATTAATTATGACCAATAAGATGTGATATTCCATACAAATATTAAATATCAATCTGATCTTTGAATGTTTAATCAGAAGATTCTAGAGTTCTTTAATTATTCAGGGATCATAAACACACTTCGTATTAATTCAGACAGAGTCAGTATATAGTTTATAAAATGAATTTCATTATTTTTCCTAAACTAATGATACATGACAAGATATGAATAATGGGAGGTGGTGTGGTGGAAGCTAGATGTTGTAGCAACCGTTCTTTGTATCTGAGAGAAATTGTGAAATCTGGGTGTAAAAGAGTTTGTTGTTTGTTATAAACTAGAGAGTTGTTTATTGATAAAAACCTCATCAGACACCAGTATG